GAGACAGTCAACAGGAAACTATTTGCGATCTATTTGGGTAGCAGCAGACCAATGAAGTGTTTGACATTACATGTAGATATAAGTTGCTATGAACATAAGCTTTGTACAAACTAAACAAGCTCTGAATAGCAAAACGACTGGATGTATCAAACGATGACTAAATAATATAATAATTCTATTGTCATTGCTAAAAAAACGTTGTTTGCTGAATTGATTTCGAATGTTAGCAATCATGAGGATTTTTATATCAAAAATGATAAAAACTATGATTTAGGGACGAAACAAAAGTCGTTATCTTAACTCTTGAGTTTTAATAAGAATCTGAATAGCATACATAATAAGCGGTGAAAATACTTTTATGCACTACTCAGAATGTTAAAAATGATTGTGATATGATGGGCGGTGTCCGAGACCTGATACTGTCATGTCCTGATAGGAATAATGAATGGGATCCTTTTATGGTCCAATACTATGCGTATATTTTTATCGTATAATTGTTAAGTAACTAAACTGTTCATATTCATGTCCCTCTTATTATGAGCTTTATTTTGACCTATGAACTATTATTATACGATTTACATTCTCGAATTATGCCGTCTATTAATTACTACCTCCCACACTCACAGCCACATCTGGCTAAGTCTTGTACAAATGTTATTTTCCATTTTATGGTACGACGTGGTCTGTCTGGTTGGTATATAGACCCAGTATGCTTGAAATAAATGATTCATATCGCAGAGGCTGTGACTGGTGTTCTGGACTTAACTGGTTGAACTATGCAGGGATCAGGACTGATAAGTACTCTAGACTGGTCGCAGGGTTTCAAGAGTCATTGGTCCGATCGATAATTCACTGCTCTCTAATTGGCGGTATCATTACGTTATACATTAACAGGGCACATAGGCCACAAGTTATAACACTAACACACGACCTGTTACGCACTAGACCCCCAAACTGACTACTTGAGTGAGAAGATAAAAGTGGAAGAGAAAGCCTATTGAGCCACCGAAAAAGTTCATTTATATAAATACATTTCTATCCCTTGGAAAGTCAACCCATTTCATAGCCAATGATATGTATTCGTTCTTTAGGTCATTTCGGATTGTCATCAAGTGAACTTCTCATTTGGCTACTTATGATTGGCTTACAATATCACCTTTCTCTTTTGAAAAATAAGTCCGCGTCCTTGGGCGTTAAGAGAAACAACGCTTGGTTCTGCTCTCTTTGAGTTCTAAATCTGGCTTTCCTATATGTAGATATATGGGGCCACATGAATTCCGGGTCCTTTTGAATACTGATTCAGCTGATCATGTACCCTTGAGTGAGGTTGAGTGCGGGATTGTTCCACGTGGTTCCCTCCGTCGTGCTCTCCGCCTGTGCATCATATGAAGATAGGAAGATATTTGGTTGCAATTAAGATTGGATGAGTGATCGAGCATTTTCGAATCTGGATTATAAATAATATTAAATAGATAATCAAGCATTTTTATTCTGTGATCCAGTCAGGACACAATAGATTGGACGATTCTTCAGTAACATAACAATTGGATCTATTATTAGATAATTAAATTTGATAATACAATTGATAATTCCAGAAACATTGATTGGGATGCCTGGTGCATTCTTCATGCAACCAGTAATAGGATGGATGCTTGACCGACCAAGTTTTGCCAGAAATCAAAGTAACATCAGATTTAGTGTCCAACTGTAGAGTGATAATATGGTCATTAACATTAGTGGATAAATACTTGAGTTATCATTTAGGGTTAGATTTTGACAAAACATGTACGCAACTTATCTTTTTTGGTATTAGATAATGAGGGTTTGTTGCATTTGCGAAATCTCTCCTTATGGCCAGTTATTCCACATCTTGCTCGTTTATGGTTATTAAATGGGCAGGAACGGGAGAAATGTGATGCCCCGCAGTTCCAACAATTAGTGAGAGGCTTTGTAGAGCGATGTGAATTAAAGTGGTGAACATTATACATTCAATTCGGTAGAGAAGAATTTCGCGAATCATGGTTTGCGAAATTAATAGTGTTGGGAAATTTTAATTTAATCAAAGGAACTGGGATTTGGATGTTCGATCATTTTTGTATCAATCTTGAGATTAATAATACGACGACATTTATTTGTAATATCAGACTGCATTCTGAGTCTGACGATGATTGCAACTCACATCCAAAATTAGGACACTTAAATTGTTCGTCTGAAAGTGAACGTAACTTGAAGCCTTCACATTGCTTATTAAGAAACGCAGCATATGAAAGTCATCTTCAGGTTTCTTAACAGACCAATTATACGTTCTGATCTGCCCAAGTTAACCTTGAGCCAAAACTTGGGTACTCCTATCGGTCTGTTATCCCCACGCTTTTCCTCTACCGTCTTCTATGAGCCGAGTTTGCCAGCCACCTTCTCATACATTATATCTGAAGCACATGTGGGTTTATATACCAACATCCTGGATCGCATTACACCGTAAAATAAAAATTATAATTATCCATCAACAAGCCAAAAGTGGCTGTGAACAGCGTAAGCTGTAAATATTTGATTGACAATGAAGTAGAAATAATAATGAGTTAAAGGAAAGCTTTGAGAAGTGAAATCCAGTTATTTAGTAATCATGGGATAAGAATACATATTATAATAATCCACCAACCTTCGCTCTAATACATCAAGTCTCTACACAATTGTGAGGTATATGTTTGTGAAAATAACAACATACACGAGACTAATGTTTTGCCAGAAATCAAACCATAACACTACAACTATTTAGAAAAAAGGCTAGGTGCTCAACTTTATAGTAATATCACTGAGACCCTTTTATCAATTTTCTGTTCGACATAATACTGTTATCTAGAAACCGATTAGTATTAGAACAATTACTTGGAAGATACTACAGCCATATATGTATTTGTAGGTACTACTGTCATCCATCTACTTACATTGGAGCAGAGGGTTTCCAAACGGTGGTGAAGAAATCGAATGCAACACTTCAAAGTTATGATAATTAAGCTGTCTTGAATAGGATCCAGTTATCAGTTACAACTCACCGATCACTTGGTAGTGACCAATGCTGTGTTTACCTAGTCATTGATAATGATCGAATCTTATCGACAGAGTTGAAATGACACTGGTCATTACTCAGTGATCAGTGTAATTGTGAACATTTGTTATACAGGTAGGTCACCACTGGAACAGCTCGATTATAACTTTTGAGATGGTGAAACTAGGTGAAGGGTCCAGACCACATAGGGAACATCAATCCCTTCGGAATCCCACGTATGTCTTACTGATGTGTCAACTGGCATGAAATATAGGTTGAGCCCAGGACCTCATGCCAACTATTCTCCAACCAAATAATAATTGTTTATTAAGAGTGGAAATAAATCTAAACACCTTATATTAATGGTTAATAACCTCGAGATGAGAACAATGGTGTAAGATTATTTGTAAAAGTATATATTTTTAAATATTCAACAATAGACCGTTGAATGATCAACAACAATAATTAATCCATATGTATGTAAAAAATAGTATACATCTCGTGTGAAGATAAGTAATAAAAACATATTTTTGTGTGGAGAAAATTTCGTTGCTATGTGTACTACACAAATATGGAACAAAATGTAAGGAAAACAGAAATTCAAGAAGTAAAAAGAGGAACATCCAACAGATTAGCAACAAACGAATTGTCGTGATACAAATGACATTCGGTCAGTCATTTGTACATAGTGTGGACCTGGAATTGTTTTGATGAAGCTAGTTGTTGTTCAGTAACATACCAGCACACACACATAAGTGATAAGCATATAAATCTACGGAAGAGATAGATTGATTTACACGCCGATAAGATAAGTTCATGATAGAGTAATAGTAGAAAAATCACTACGAATATATTTCGTTATTTGGCAAGGAAATTAAGGGAGATGTCTAGACAACCCGTCCTCCTATTCATCATCATCACCATATCAAGAGTAAGGTGAATACAAAGGGATGAAGAACTGAAATGTAGGTGAAAGCGAGAATGAGCACTTAAAGTACTGGGATACACACATATACACCTACACATGCACAATACCAAATATGTTTCAATCAAACAGTAATTTTGAAATAACATGAAGGTGTACAACAACAGAACAAATATGGAACAGAACACCTGAGTAATACAAAGTCACACAGACAATAGAAGTTGAGCACTTGAAGAGAATAAAGAATACAAGAAAGTTTAAAAAAAAACAATCTGTACAAAAAGAAATTTCTGTAAAAAGGATTCGATGAAGAAAGATGCTTGTTGTCAACGTCAATGGATAAGTGGTACTACATACATATATCGAAATCTATAACTGAATGTGTATGAACATCCGCTTAACAAAGTATTTTGTTCACCAACCAAATCAAGGCAGATAATGAATGACAAGCTAAACATTAGAGATGAAACGCAATAGTAGTAGAAAAGATCAGTGCAATTGGCTGTGTGTCACCAACACATCCTCCTCATTATAGAGTGCAGTTAAATTCATTAAACAGAACAATAACAAACAGAAGAGATTATAAGACAACGAGGGAAAGGTTGAGTGTATCCTCTACTACAAAATAATGTAACAAAAGTTTTGTCTCTGAAAAAGTGTTTGCTACAATTTCGCAATTTGAAATAAGACACGGTTGCTGCCAAATCATTTATATATATATATATATATATATATGAAATACCAATTGACGTTAGTCCTAGAAATATACATACATACATATACATACTGCACATACTGCAAAATGTACATATCAATCAGACATAATAATTTAAAGGCTAGAAATGCAATTTAACGATAGACAATACAATTTATGAAAATATAAATATACACGGAGAAGGATAGAGGAGCGGAACGATGTCTGTGCACAAGTATGTGTGTATTTGCATTCTAAGGAAACAGAGGGAGTTAAAAAAACAGGACTGCTAACGAAAGAGTTACATTTTTCAGTATAATTATGGTACAACTGGTTTAATTAGACGATGTAGAAGTAATATTATTGTTGTCAAAATAATGATTACTACTGTCATTAACACCACCGTTCATTAGGTGATCAGTTCGTTGTGATTCTATTGGATTATCACTTAACTGACGATTATCAGGATAGTAGTCAAGTAAGTAAAGACTACTAGTACCAGCCAACGCTAGAGTATTTTCACGTGTGTGCCATGATAAATGAAGCAGTTTACGTGTTAAATCCATACATTCCACATTGACTTTACCCTCAGACCATGATCGAGCGAAAGCACCACTACTACTGGCACTGCTACCCCCGATAGTTCCATCAGATATCACTTGACATGGTTTCAGTTTACCGCATACACTATTTTCCATAGCTTCACGAGATGCTTCCATTAGTAGATCATTCGAGGTACCACGTTCAAATACACGAAAATAATTATTGTATGAACCGGTGACAACCATACTGTAAAAGCAAAAATATTGGAAGAACTTTGGCACGGGGAAAAACAACGAAAACAAATCATCCCTTTAAGAATTAATTTTAGTTTAACTTGTAGATAATTTTCACTTTAAAGTAATCAATTAATATGAAGATGATTTTTTTACAGACTAAAGACAATAGCTGATGGCTAACGATTGAAATGGGCTACTGTGCGTTAGGCTGTGTTTTATCACAATTTCAAGACTGTCACACACCCCTTGCAATCGACACGTCGATCTGTGATAAAAGTATCCTCAAACTAAAAACTAATCTTCATACCTTACTACTATTACTAAACTAGGAATAATATTGTTAGTTGGATTGACACACATGAGATTTTCAACTTTGGAGCTGTACATACACTTTATAGTGTTACTGTAATAAAATAGGGGTTCTTCAGCAGAGTTTAGATGTGTGTGTGACCAGTATGTACATAGTCATATGTGACGACAAAATGTTGGGAATAGAACCGGACTGTGGGGGTAACTTTAGTAATTAAAGCATGGAGACGAAGCCCATATTAGGTAGTAAGTAAGAACCCCTTAAAACCTACCTCGGCTGTGGGCAGCTAAATCGCAGAAGCATTGTTAGTACTTTCGTACAAACGGAATTCCCTATATGCGCATATACATTTCAAGATAGCTCCACATGAACGTGACACAGGATAATAAGAGAACAATAAACTAATTAAAAAATTGGATGGAAACAAATTGATGTATTTATGTTCGAGTGAATTCGTCAAATTTGAGGACGATTTTTAACACGAACAGCAGTGTGTCACAAAGCTGTAGTCATTAGACAAAACACATTTCAAAGTGGTTGGTTCAAAATTTAATACTTTCATTTAACAGTATAATGATTCATTACCAAGAAAATTAAAGAATAAGTCAGCCGTTCATAATGAACGTAGAGCCGGGCATAAATGTGTGTTGGCTCAAATCTTCACAAGATTGAATCAACAAAGTGAGTAGGAATAATCATCGCACTAATGGTAATGAGAAAGAGTAAACTTTGAGAATATAGTGTAAAAAGACAAAATGAGAAAGAATACCATAGCTCAAGATCTAGAGAGACATGAGCAGCGAGTGCACCAGCACTACTGATGATTCATGTCACCTGTTTTCAATCACTGGACGTGATTATCTCATCTACACAAACAAACTTGAGACAGGAGAAAAGATGTTTTTAACACTAAATTTTTACTATTCCAACTTGTTTAATACGCATTGAGATAACCGCAAGCTAGAGTGCAGTAACATACATGACACGCCCTCTACTGTTTCATCCAATGGACATGAACACAACATTAGTAACAAGCATACTCTTATTTACATAACACTTTATATTTAATATCAGAAAGGGGTTTTTGTGGATATTATAGTAATTTAATAATTGATTTCAAGATTCAATTAAAGCTAGACCACAAATGCTCCCAGGTTTTTTATGGTGGTCTAGCTTCAATTGACTCATGATTTCAACTATTAAATTACTTTATATTTAGTTAACGTTCTTTCTTCTTAACAGTGCTGCCACTAATAAACGTTAATAATATACTTGAAATAAATTAGTTATAATTACAACCACAGTTGGCAATTCGATTTCTCACTTGGACCATAAGCAGATTTATTTTTAGTTTTATTCTCCAAGCAACGAGCATGGGATGTTGGACCCTAGTCAATACAGTTCAACTGAATGGTCCTCACAATATAAAAGCTTGGTGATCACTACGTCATGGGATAGAAGCAACAGAGGTAGGGAATATGTTTGAAATTATTGTAATCAAAACACCTTTAACAATCTCACATACATTTCCCAGATTTATATTATTTATTTTGATAATGATCACGTTTTGATTTGGTTAAAAAAAGAATTGTAGGTCTTCACGACTAATCAATACCGAAGTTGGGCTTGATAGATTAAAATAAACTGACCATTGGGTAGAAAGCTAATAATAAATATATTTTTCGCCATATCCCAATGAGTAGAAAACTATATTTCTGACATTTCGTGCCTCAACAAAAGCCACTTCTTCAAGGCAAATAAATAACCAAAATGAAAATTGTTCCCTTTGTACTATTTAAACTTGTGTTAATTTATTTCGGTTATTTCTTTATTGAATTATCTACCCATTAGGATATAACAAAAGATATAGTATTATTAGCATAGTTTTGGCATTAGAGTATGGATAACGAAACAGACACAACTTGCACAAAACTAAATAAGTTTGTGAGTAAAAATCCCTCTCTAAACTGAAGTGATTAAATTTAATCTAATACATAGAATTTCATTCAATATTTGTACTTAAGATCCTATGACAAATGTTTATCACTTAGAATGATTGACAGTTAATATAGAGTACGTAAGTAGTGGTACGAGAGATAGCAATGTAATGCAACACAACAATAACATGGTACCGTTAAAAACTGTGGATTATTAGTGGAATGTACATGCCAACATGAAATAACATGTTTTCCAGTCATTCATAAATTAATTAATCTATTTTAGTCAACTTAATAATTGCATTTTAAGAAAAACATGTGAATCGAGGAAAATAATCTACATAAATCGGTCTATGTTAATAACGACTTATTGTGTGGGAGTTGTGGAGCGGTAGGGCATAGTGTGATCGCAATACAAGATAATGTGGGCTTAAACCTTGTTACAGGTCAATTAGTAGCATTGGTCTATACATATGCAAAATGAACGTGGCTCAAGGTTTAACAATACTAGTAGGCTGTATTTATAATTGGGTGTTAGGTTCCCCGCTAAGTTTAAAAACGAAGTGCCCATAGCAACCAGTTTCAATCAGTTTTGAAAACTAACTACATTTTTATTAGCTTCATCCATAAATACAAGTTTATTTGTTATGCACGATTTGATTGAACCACATCAAGTTGATTTAAACTATATTATTTAATGATCAAAGCAAAACCATTGACAGGTTTTTAAGTGAAAAAGCTTGAGATTTTTAATTATAACTTTAAAAAAAATGAAGTTTTACCGAATTGACTAACATGCTTATGTAGAAAACACATTAGTTTTAATTACATAGAGTTGACATTTCGTTAGAACATAACGATAGGACACATATAACATCATAATTACTATGTGAAGTCCATCTTAGCAGGATAGAATCACGACAACTGTAGCCCTACTATAAAAGTGTAAGTCGCAATATGTTGACTAGTCCAGTCAATGTTAGTGGACGGATTGAGAATATAATACAAATTTTTTCGATAATTCTAGAATATACAGGATATTACAGAGCAATATTGAAAGATTCGTGGTTCCAGTAATTAATTTTTGTATACACAACCCAATCTGTTATTATGATCGTCTATACCTTCAAATTTTTCCAACTGTCTTCCAAATTTATGTAAAAGATTAAAAAACTCTTCCCTCAAAACGCTATGATAAACCGAAATCTGTTAGTTAGTTTGTATTACAACTACCAAAATGTTTGACCTGAAAGTGTGCCCGATAGACTAGTGAATAAACCTATATAAATAAGTTAATATGGAGAACACACTTCTTAGTTGCTGTCCTAAACTTAAATACTTGATTCAAAGAGCCTCAGATTACCACTTAGAACTCTAAATTCAAAACTTGGCATCTAAAAAATTGTACTATCGTTCATCCACTAATGTTCAAGTAAAGATAAATCTTAGACTGTTTTAACGCCACATATTGAAAGATGAAAGTATGGACGGCGCATTCTATGAGTGAGCGAATTACTTATCAATCTGAGGTCACCCTCTACATGCCTTTGACCGAGTCACTTAGCACACTTGGGAATTCGAAAAATTTAAGCATCAATATTGGGATCTTGGCAATAAAGCTTCCCACACTGGGTTACTTCTCTCAACATAGAGGATCAGTTGTGTTTAAGAGGCATACTTTAGTAACACTGAATAGCGCCGAGGGACAGAACAATAAGGTGACGAAAATAAATCTGAATATAGACCATACAGGACGTCCTTACATAACTCAGTATGTTGCATTTAGGTACCTCTTCCATATAACCTCAATAAGATTGAGGTTATATGTCATGTTTCTCATGTTCAAGTAGTGTGTTAAACATAGCACTTTTGACTTCTTGCGTTCGTACTGAATTTCGGAGTGCAATTTTGACAAAAATTTCATTTTCGAACTCTAAATCTCATTATATATATATTTTAATCAGAGATGCTGCTCTGTGCTACACTGGCGTATTCACATCGAACATTTTCGGATAACTTATTCATCCACTAAATGAACGGGGAAATAAACCGAAAGTGCCGTGGCTTCAGTAACATCGTTTTGCTTGAACACTAAAGCATGACAGATCACATCACTTTAACAGCAACACTAAACACGCGAGATGAACTGGTGAACACCCAATTTTCAGAAAAAAACAGGGTTTGAAATGATCAAACAATTCTACCGCTAATCAATTCCACACTACTTTTATGCAGATTTTGATTGGTCAAGACCTAAATTGATTAGTCCAAGTTAAAAACAAACCAACCAATCAGAGATAAGTATCAGTCATTTCAACAATGCATAACAAGTACACAAATAAAATAATAGTAACAATAATCATCTAGAAAAAAACAATACCGCGGCTGTCATACTAAATAAGTATAATATTTTTCAGTGATATAATTACTTACACAACATACAGAGAACAAGTGATTTGATAACAATAAATCAATCATTCTATTTACAAAATATTTTGATAACCATGTTGATAGATACTGTTTACGATGAATTCTCCATTATGCATTAATTATTTGGTCAACTTTAGATTGTTATGTTGGTGTGGAGAGAAAATCTCAAATGTGATCTATAATATTATTCCCCGGTTCAAATGTAGATTATGCATAATTGAGTGGATAGGTTTATTTACACCAGGATACTTTGCAATACAACTAAGGTATAAACTCTAATGAAGCTGTTAAACTTTTCAAACCAAAATTAATTAAGTAAATGGCTTTGGGCTCTTAAATCAATGGTCAGAAGCTGACTCATTTAGTTCATTGAGCCACAACTTTATATGTGATAAAAAAAATTAAACTTCAAGATAAATTCTCAAAGTTCTAAACAGAGAGCTATTATCGCTAGAAGTGAAGAATCATATTAAGTGGGATATATATCACCGACCGTTGAGTAATGACATAAATGTGAACCGATTTCAACCAGGAGAATTGAAGTATTGAGATCTCTAATGTTGTAACGGAACGGATATTGTAAAAGTATATATATATATATATATATATATATATACCTTTTCGACTAACCTATTAATTACTACTGTATAACTTACCATTCCTGATCTGTTGCAAGTTTATTATTCAGTCTCCCTTTCTCACAGATACTTTTGGTTTCACCATGTATATTTGTTATTTTTTATTAGATGGTGTGATGTGTGGTGTGGCATACTTGCGTATGTCTGCTTAAAATATTATATTCGTTGAAGCTGATCAGTGACAGGGTAGAGAAAGGGGCTACGGAACCGTGGACCAATAAGGGTTGAGAATTCGAATCAAAGTTACTTATAATGGTCGGACGTGTAATTGGTCAGCTCAGGGACATTAAGTCATAGAAGTCAAGATTCTGATTGGTGGTTTCGGCCCTTGATTTTGGCCAGCGGTCATAAGACATAACACCCACAAGACACCAGTAAATCTTGAAGTCAATGAAATGTAACGGATATGTAAGTCCTTTAAGGAACTCTGAAACTAGAATAAAATAGCTGTTCAGTTTAGCCCTGATATACAACGATTTTTCATATAACACGTCCATAATTTCAAAAATAAATAAACTTTTTCTTAAGGCTTTTGCGGGGTGCTTTGAATTCTATGATTTACACCATAAATTGATCTTAGTTAAACAGTTATCAAAAACCAGGAAGCACTGAACAAGTTGTTTCGTTGTGGTATTGGTCTCCTGAGTAGCAGTGTGCGTCCATGGCCTGACTGCAGATCAAGCCTAGGGTGTTCTACACGCATGGTGTGTGGTTACTAACAAGTTACATATGTACTCGACATTTAAGGAGGAACTTAAATTACGACTCATTAACGTAGTAATTAGGTATATGTATTAGAATTTGTGCTGGAATTCAAATACTATTGTTAAATATGCTATTTATGTTATTTAGACAAAAGTAGGCAAGGCGATCTTGGACAGATATAGCTCAATGGTAAAAATGTTTGACCTGCAGCATTAGGTCGCAGATTTGAAACCGCTTTATTACATTCACTTTTGGTCAACTGGGTAGTATCACTAGGCCTTGTTGCACTCAGACTGTGTGGCTTGAGTTACGCTGAGACTTTCTTCATAAACCGATTGACAATATACAGCATAGTTCATTTTTAAATCATTATTACGATTTCCTATTACTTACTCATCGTTTGGTGACCATTGACATTCGAATTTATCAAATATACAATCATTTTCATAGAGTGCACATAATTTTGTACGGAAATAATCGTGAACGAGGTAAGTTTCAACTGGTCGACGAGGCATATTTAAATCCCAAACTAAAATAATTGAATCATGAAACAAAAAATTAGGAATTAAAGACAAAAGTGAATGAGATCACAAAGAGTGAATGGAATTTAAAAAGAAAATCACGAATAAACCAAGTGAATTATCATGTGAACATTTTAGCCCTGTGATCATATAAAATCCACTCTTGTTTCGTATAGGTGTATTTATTTAAATAGACTTTAATATATTTTGCCATGTTATTGGTACAAAAAGTTTGTGGAGCATCAAAGAGAGGCTTATTTCGTCCTAGTATGGAGCTCCTAAGCAGTGTGCATCCACATCCTTATCAGGGATTGAGTCTAAAAACTCTGGACCTTGCGAAGAACGCACTACTGAATGGTAATATTAAGATGAACCACTAGTCGTGTGCATTTTTGGTCATCAATAGTTCATGACAAAGAAACTTCAAATTTAACAGTCTCTATAAACAGCTTACATTAATGGATATGTGTATATATTACACAATCCGAAGCTGAATTTGATGAAGTCATCAGAATTGCATAATTAGCAATGTTCAGAAAACTAGAGGTATTATTATTCAACTTGCTTGTAGGGCACTTAAATTTTTTAAAAGGTTCCAAGTCAAATACAAAGCGATAATACTATTTAAAACATTCACGACTACAAAAAGTAGTTGTTCCGTGGGATCTGTGACTACGCCTCCAGGACTTTAAGATTACCATGAAACCAGTTTCTTTTCAAATTCCTTAAGGCGTGACCTTCCAATGTGTGAGAGCGACAAGGAAATTACTACTACCTTTGACAACTGGAGCTTATCTTGTTCGAATGCATAAACTTATAATTACAGAATGTCTAGTGAAAAATGGCATTTGGAAGTACAATAAAAGTGTGCACGTCAAATTATAGATAATTCCCTATTTATTTGAGTTGTTAAACAAATAATCAGTCCTGTCTAAAAACAAAAATAAAAAGACATAGAGATTTCAGAAAAACGGTAAATACACTGTACCTTTCAATGTTAAGTAATCTCGACTTAAAATATAACGACCGGAATGACTAAAATTTAAATCGGATATATTGTTAATAATTTCAGAGAAAAAACACCGACTCATTGGATCGTCGACTTCTTCAAACGCTGCAAAATAGAGGGAATAAAAGAAGGGATAAAATAAGAAAAAAAATCAAAATCAGTTATCGTCGATATAATGGTGAAAAAAGAGGAACCTAGATACATGGATTGTATTGGGTTCCGTGTGATCTGGACACAACGACAGGAAAAAAGATTTATGACCTCTCTCTCTAGTCCGTTTATCGACTAGTCCAGCTATACTGCCAGTAAGATCAGTTTAACCAGTCTTTTCAGGTAGATAATTGTATGAGTCTTGAACCATAGTTGGATTGAGTACGAAAGAGAATTGTTTTGTTTTTTATCTTTATTTTCTAATTGTCCACTTGGTTAGGAGCTCGGAGATCAATAAGCGTTAAGGCCTTAGTTGTTGTTCAATGGTCGACGTGTTCATCGGTGCTTAGAATGTTACTGATCTTACTGGCAGTATAGCTGGACTAATCGATAAACGGACTAGAGAGAGAGGTCATAAATCTTTTTTCCTGTCGTTGTGTCTAGATCACACGGAACCTAATACAACCTAAGCAATGTTTTCCTCCGACAAAACGAAAATCATAACCTTACATCGCACAATAAGGTAAATAGAATACTACTTACATAATGCATGTTCATCGCACAGTGCACGTTGACGCATATCACATAAACGTATGGTGCCTTTACTGCTGCTGTAAATAAATAATGAACACGCTGATGGATGAAATTGAGCAGCTGTTATCACTTCAGACAAATCTTCCATATTCACAGGTTTTAAATCAACAATATCTTATTATTTTTTTAAAAAAGGGGTTAAAGAAAAATAGTCTTACTTCATAATAAATAAGAACTTTCGTCTAAATTTGAACGAATAGTTTCACAATATTTGGGCGCCGAGTTAATTTGAGACATTAAAAAGAAGAATATATTTGTAAAATCTCAGCGAATGAATTATAAGTAAATCCAACGTTTCGCCTGGCAATCTGGTCCAAGCTTTTTCAAGGAAAATATAATCAAACAACAAGATTATATTTTCCTTGAAAAAGCTTGGACCAGATTGCCAGGCGAAACGTTGGATTTACTTATAATTCATTCGCTGAGATTTTACAAATATATTCTTCTTTTTAAAGTCTTACTTCATATTTTGTTGTATATATATATGTATACGCAAGTGGCTGCTGAATTACTTATTATTATTATTAATACAACACAAATATCTGTATGAATTTGTCTTAGATAAATTCAATACGAGATCAGAATTTTTCCTCATTTATTAGTCAAGTATAGTGTAAGTACTTTGTGTATGCACTGCGTTGAATAGTTGAAGAAAAAGAAAAACAAGTTGCCACTAAATAATGACTAAGTTAGTTTCAGTTTGACTAAAGCTTAGTATAGACTTGCGCAGTGATTAGTCTCCACAAGTTCATCTGTACAACAGCGTTGGTAATTTACTGAGCTACTACTAATTGATAACTAATAGATCAACCGAAATAGAGATCGATAGAATTGCATCAATACCAAGGGTCTCGCATAAACGATATAAATTGCTGCTCAACGTTCAATCAGTCCTACAGGTGGTAACATTATGACTCAAAAGGCTAAATGATGGCTTCCTTTTGATGCTGGGCGACGCGCGTTCATACTCACAAGAAGTACTAGTTTTTGGAGGATTACAGAAACGCATTGCTAGGTAGTACTAACTAGCAAATAGCTTAGATCCAAGTAAATCTCCCTATTGAGTTCCTACAGGATTTAATTTGAAACTCTTCAAAAGCATGCTTACATAATTTCATAAAAGACTGAATCCTAGTCTTGCGTAACGTGCACCATACATAATTAAAAATGACTATTTGTTGTTCCGTGATTCTCCATACTTTCTTAGCCTAAGTTTTCGCACACTTACTAAATGCAGACTTGTGCGCTTGGTTAAGGGACACAATTTAAGTGTGAGGCCCAGCGATATTACATGGAAGTAGGTTGAACCAGTGACTAAAACCTGAGAGTTGAATGCTTAAGTCCGTGCTCTACAATAGCTCATTAAGGTCCAAACCCGGAATCTACTGACCTGTAACTAGGACTGTTATTTATTGCAGCACAGGGATCCTTAAGCTATAGTCAATGTCCGTGATCCAAAAATACCTACCAAAAGTACACACGGGTAAAAACGAAGTTCCTCTACAAAAAAAACTATCTAACATTGAACAAACAACAAGAGATAAAGAAAAGGATACTGAATGATTGGTTGGTAATTTCTAAATTCCATAAATTAATTCTTAAATCATCCGCTGAGAGAAATGTTTCTTGATCAGAATTCACTGATAATGAATTGATAAGATAAGTATGTGCATTAGCAAATATTCGTTTAGGATGTGCATCCATGACAGGGTCAATATCTTCATAATATGGTACACGTAGATCAGTTTTCTGATAAATTTTATTCAATGAAACGGATGAGTTATTCTTATCGTTCAACATAAGATTATCATCATTATCGGTAGTATTAGTACTTCTAGTTGTATTATTGTGTAAGAAGTAATCAGATGATGTACAAGTACTATTGGCAACACGTCGACACCGTTCAGTAATGCGCCAAAGTTTAATTGTTTTGTCTGTAATAGAGAGGGGAGAGAACGAGGTAGACAACGTATCAATTGTTTGGTAACTATTAGAAGCAAATGAAACAACCCTGCTACAAAATACGTTTACACACACGTAGTCTATCCAATAAATACACGAACCAATCTCATTAAAATATTATTTTACACAATTCCAGGTATATCGGTTTTCTTATCTCATATTTTTAAATATTCCTGGAACAACAGACTTAATATATCTGTCCAGCCCCTTACATTTTCACTTTTGAAAAAAACGTCCATGAAATAAATTAGAAGTTAGAGTCTTCTCTAGTTGCTACTATGTTGTCCTTATAGATTTGATCATCTCCACATCGTTCCACCAGCGCCGCTTCCCCAACCCATGTGACCATTTTGCATCTTGGAAACAGTGAGAAATTGCAAGAGACTAATTTGAGTAATTATGAAGGATAGTCCATCACGATAATCAGAATGTGGAACTAGACAGAAACAATTACTGAGCTTAAATATTCAGTTTTTCCTTAGCAAGGCAAGATGAACAAAAATATTACTGACCATTTGTAGAAAGCAGAAATTGTGCATGATTAGTACGTGGTAACCATCGGATTTTATTGATTTTCTCTTCAATTTCCAATGATTTAAGATAGTCGAACTCCGGTTCATGACTGACAAATGTACAATACACATTGTGACTGATGCATTTTTGAAGTTTATCCTACAAAATTTTTCAGAAAAAAAGAGTGAATCGTAGATGGACGAGTGAATTACTATGATTTTAGTTTAACTTAATAATTCAACTAAGTATGCCAGAACAGGTATGATGTACATTGTATTTGAGTCAAACAGTTTTTCGCAAGAGTTAGTGACACGCTATCCTGTCGTGTAACCCGAAGCAAGCACAATGAACTTCAAGCCTGTTACCCTGGTGGTTGACTGTCGAGAATAAATCAAGTAGAACGGAATTTAAACTTGTGATCGAATGACTGATAATAATAACTGTTATGTGGGATACTTGGTCGCGGACTGAAAGATCTCGAGTACTCTTAGAGGTTGCCTACGGTGAGGAATAATAACTGTTTTTGAGGTGACTGAAAAGAAAATTGGATTAGTAATAATCTTGAAGACTTGACAGCGTGTTCACAAAATCTAAGAGGTAACTGCTTAAAGCCGGTCACACACAGTCTTTTTGTGAGTGGTTCTTGATGTGTTAGGTCTATAATTTAAAAATGTCAATAGTCTGGCCTCATGTTAAATATAAAATTGCCAACTACAAATTATACACAATAAAATGAACAAAATAAACGGGCGTGAGGGAGATACATAAAGTGATGGTACAAGTGTTCACTAACCTAAGTAGTTACGCATCAGGAAAAAATGAGAAAAATGGAGGAGAAAGCAATAGTATTATTACTAGTAACAGTTTGAATTATCCAATTTTTTTATATTTAAGATCAAGTTTAGATCATTCCTACATACTGGGATACGCGCATCCTGTGAGGACTGTCTTGATATGGTTGTTTCGTTACAAATATTTAGAACAGATAGATTATGGCTAGCGATGGAAACCAGAAAGTGGGTTTTGTTCTATCTGCACCCCGATGTTGACGTTCACATTGAAATTTGAAGTTAGAGGTTCTGGGTTTGAATCCCAAGTTGAACATCAACACTAGAATGCATCACAGATTTAGCTAACTAGTACCAAAATAAAACGAAACCCGAATACTGGATTCGATCACTAACTAAAATCCATCTATTCCGTAATCCTTTAAAGAAAGCAAATGAAATCGGAGAATAAGGAAAGTTTGAGACCATATTATTGCTTAAAACTGAACGGAAGACCAAAAACGAATACTTTTGCACCGATTCAATCTGCTTTTTGAAACTAATATGAATTATAGAGGGTTCTTTAGAAAGTAATTAAAAATTCTTTATAGGTTGTGTCACTTTTCATATTCCCCAATGATATGTAACATGAAATTAGCTTTCAAACAGCTAACAGTGAGTAAACTATCTCCCCAACAGTAATAATAAATTCGTTTATTAAACGATGTAGTCTCGTAAGCTAATACGTGTGATAGCCACTAAACTTTGTTGCAAGCGAATATTAGTCCGACATACAGACATCATCAAAGCAGAACCTAGCATAGATATGCTGGACCATATTGTCATACCAAATTAGTACCAGATGAATTGTAAAAGAGATTGAAGTAATTTAGCAGTAGTAATGATAAAAAACCAAGCATTGGTGAAAAGATTGCGTGGAAAGGTAAGTACATGAAGCGATCAAGAAGAGAATAACGAGTGAATGCATTTGAGCCAATGTGAAAGTTAAACAGCCACAAAATCATTCACCAATAGAAGTTGAAAAATCGAACGTAATTGTGTATCTTAGAATTTTTAGAAAAGCAAACCTATTTTTATCAAGCAGTTAGAAATTGTGTGATAGGAGTCTAAAGTTAAAGAGCTCACCATTCCGCGATTCACACTTACAATGGTCCTCTAAAAGAATTAAGGCTACTACCGATCCATAATTCTGACAGATGAAGATATGAACAAAGACGTTAAATTATGGTAACTGAAATAAACCGTTGAATTACAAAACTTGTACACCAACTATAAGGGAAGAGCAAGGAAACTTTTCTCCGACTTAGAATTTGTCAATCAAAAAGTAGAATTTAGCAAATACGTGAACCAATTTCAGTTGTCACACTATAGCAGCACAAGACGAAATTATCAAGAAACATGCCTGTGTAGTAGAATTAGTACCAATGTCAGAGGTTGTAGAAATAATTAGGTATAGACAACATGATTCACGAAGAGAGAATAAATTTTGGGGGCAAAAAGTGCACAATAATTTTAAGACTCGGAATCCAAGGTGCTACACAGAGGAACGTATTTTTGCCCTTGAGACTGATTCTGATCCACGTCACTCAACGTCTCAGAGCAGTGGTCACGATAATCACATGAATCCCAACCAGGTAGTCTGCATCAGCCAGCACGACTCAGCCTGATAGTCAATCACTTCATGAACTGATCCCAAATGTGGGTTTGGGCGTCCCTATTCTTATTGCAACACTCCTACACTAAACATTAAGCACCTAAGCAGGCAGTGGATGGATGTACATAAAACATTCCAGAGCGCTGAAGATGTCATCGAATCAACACTAAATATCAAAACATATTAGTCTATAAATAGTTTTTTTTTAATATTCTCTCTCTCTCTCTCTCTCTCTCTATATATATATATATATATATATATATATATATATATATATGGTTTGGGATTATAGATGTACAAAAACGTGTTAAAGATTATCAACTTTATAACTAACTTCATTTTCTCGTTTAAAAATCACAATTCTACCGCCATGGTCACCGGTTGCTAAAAAGTCGCCAGTTTTATCATATTCAACACAAGATATAATATCAGCTAAAGATCCATAGCGTAAATAAAAGACATTCTATTCTGTTACCTTCATTGACATCTTCACAGGTCCCCTTGATTTGGTTGAAATACCAACCTTCTAAGTTCCCTATAATGAAATGATTGACACATGGAAACAAATATTATTAAAATTGGGAAATAACAACTCGGCTACACATATCTGAAAATAAAGGTGTTTTTAGTCGTTACGATGCCGAATTTCCTTAAGCGCTCTGAAAGTTACGTTTTTAGTATCTGATTATCAAAAACACTTCCATTTTTTCTCTGAATACCCATGCGCTTCGAATAGTATTACTACTGGTTGATGCTACAATAAACTATAAAATGTCGTCTTTTCGATCCATAAAGACTGTGCTAGAGAGCTATTACGGGAATAATGTACTTATTTCCCGAGTGTTTTGTGATATTCTATTCGCTTGCCGGATCACGTGGCAGATTTATAAAATATACTAGTATATGACACTAGTTGATTGTACAAGTTTCAAAAAGATTTAGTTCACGTGTGGATCATAATGAGTTGCATTTATAAAAAAAGGGTCTAAAAGAAACTTCATCCAAACAGCGCCGAACCAAGCTCGAAAGTAAACTAACTCAGTCACATTTCAAAACAATAGAATAGCCAGAAAGGAACAATATGAAGTAAAAAATAACTAAGTCAATAGCTAAGAAACAAAGTTACGTTTAAGATGTACACAGTAAAATTGTGCTAGGTTTGAAGACATTACGAGTTCAATTAGTATGCGAACCGAACAAAGACTTGTGAGCGTAGACCAATAAGCTAGCTATTTGATGCGTGCCAGATCCGCTAACTAGAGGAAGAAGCCCAAGCTTGGAACGGGAAGGTATATTCCGTAAGCCAGAAGCACGAGTGAATAATAACAGACACAAATCAAACGTATATATACAGCATGAAACTGTCTATGGGGAGCGTAGCAAAAATAGTATACTAAAAACACACAACGGACCGATAGCGTTAAAAATTCTCCCAAGTGGGAAATATGACATGAAGGTGAAAAGTGCGCTTATGGCGCGAAAACAAGGAATTTTAAACTTCCAAAATGAAATTATGAAATTAAGGCATTTACCAAGTGAGCTCAGGGGATCTAACATCCCCACAAAACTGTTCATAAAGAGATCTGTTACTGATACTAACTTCAAACATGAAGGTATTGCTAGCCTCGAAATACATAAACCGTGATTAATAATTAGTTTCTGGAGACAAAAAGCTATACAGATAAATTTATATGTAATTATAGGGTTGAAATATTAAAAATAATAACCGAAATATTGTAAAATTCGCTTTCAAAAACCCACGTGAATTGACTAATTACCACTGAAGATAAAAAACGCTTCAATTTACTGAAAATTTTCATACTGTCCATGATGACATGCACTATCAAGAAATGCACATGCATTTGACACGGAACAATGGATTTTTGAAGAAAATACTGAACTGACGAAAAACGAAATAGTTTGCAAATGATGACAAAAGTCCTACTATATAGAAAGAAACTGCTGTCCAAATTACCGATTCAGTAAATATTGATAAAGCTTATATGGGATAGCAGTGATCTATCAAATACTATGAGAATTATAAACCGATAGAGCTACAAAGGTCTTAAGTAGGTAAATGCCTAGATCATTAGAATGGTTACCCAATGTTGAAAGGATGAGATAATAGGACTCTTTTCACATTATTTTGTTTTGCTTTTGCGATTCCCTAAGATCCTCTGTGAACAGCACATTAATTCTATTTATTTATTTGAGCACATAAACATTGGTACAAAGGGGCACCAAATACATATGCGCCATACAATAACAATGAGGTTGTGAAGAGAGAGAATATAAAGTGCGTATAATAAAAAGAAATTAATGTACGAGAGTGAAATAATAATCATAATAATGGGAGAAACTGTTCAGTTGCGAAAAATACAACTAGAAAGAAATCTTTCAGCTAAAGTTATGATTACTTTTATGAGGAAAGTTACAGCAGGATTACTGCGGGCTTTCATTGTGAGTCATGTATGACGTCTCAAACCACTGTGTCGCACCACCTCTATGACCCCAACCAGGGAGTCGTGAAGGACCAACAGAAGCCAGTTCTGTACAGCTTTCTTTCATGCTACGACGCCATGTCATACACTGACCATCTCTCCGCTTTTTCCAATCGTTCTTAGCGTCGGGAAAGAATGCGCGATGTGAAATTCTCTGGGACGACATTCATAGTACATGTCCGAGTAGCCGAACTCGTTGTTTCAAGATGATGATATCGATTGAATTATCGTCGCTGTGCCCTAACACGATGCCGAACCTCTGCATTACTAACATGTTGTGGCCACTAGAAATCAGCAATCCTTCGGAGACAACGATAATCAAACACAGAGTCGTCTAACATCCTCAGCTCGGAGAGACCAGGTGTCAAAAGCATAGAGCAAAACTGCTCTCACCGATGTGTTGTAGATTCGACCCTTTGCAGCCAGAATAATGTGACGAAAGCGCCAAAAACGGCCCAGACTGGCATAAATATCTGACCTTCACTGTACGCGAATCGATCTCACTACCAGCACCTGATCAACTACCCAGATACGCAACCTTCTCGACTACTATCTGCTCACTACCCAGGGTGTGTGAAGGATCAAGGTCCAGCCAGTTTTGAAAAGTACTTTGAACTTAGAAGGGGCAAAACACATTCCAACTGATTAAGTGCGGATTGCATGGCTTAGATATCTTCCGCATACTCAAGGTCGAAAAGTCTTTCTCCAGGTAACAGATCCACACCGCCATTACTTACATCCATCAGAGCTGTATCCAGAATGTCGTCGATGGCAAAATTGAAGAAGAATGGTGAGATTGGGCAACCCTGCCTAACCCCACTGCTTGGATGGAAAAATGGAGGTGGTTGTATGCCCTCATTCTGCCTGAGGTGTTAGTATACAGGGAGTTCAGGATGTCAATAAACCTGACGAATGGTGAATATGTGGTCGATACAGCCACGACCAGGTCTGAAGCCAGCTTGATTCTCTCGTGTTTGCAGTTCACGAGTCTTTGTTACGCGTCCGATAATTATTGATTCTAGTAATTTAGATGCTATGTTAGTCAAACTAATCCCTTTATGGTTGTCACAGGATGATTATGACCCTCTCTTATATATTGGGATGATAAGTGATTGTGACCAGTCAGATGGGATTTTAGCTAAAATATTAGTCAACCTAATCGCTAAAATTGGACCACCATCCTTAAAGACCTCTGAAGCCAATCCATCTGGACCAGCTGCCCTTCCTCGTTTCAGATTAACTATAGCCTTTTGAACTTCAGCAAGAGTTGGGGGACCTACTTCAATGTTCCATTCACACTGTCTGGAAATGGAGGGTAGTTGTATAGTAGCTGAATGTTTTGCGCACTAGAATCGTTGGTTATGGTGACACTTGAGGAAGAAGCCGAAAAAGGAAGTTTAGAGTTGAAAGTCGATGTAGGAGGAATAATAAGAATTAAAGAGGGAGGTTGATTATGAATAAAGTGGTCTTGAGTGCTGTTAGAGGTATGAGGCCGGTTATCACTTCCCTGTTGCCCACACCGTGGAAGGGTTCTTCTGGAGGTACGTGAAAAGGAAATTGGATTATACGTGGTCTTAGTGACCTGAGAGTGTGACTGCAGTGCCCAAGGTACAACTGCTTGAGGTCGGGCAAACACGACCTTTTTATGGGTAATTTTTGTGTTAGCTCCGTACTTATTGAGACCTTACCGTCGGAGACGGATATCCGTGGATAAGGTGAGGTGTGCATTTTTAAGGTCGACCTTTTCAAACCCCACCCTTCCTTGTGGGAAGGCAGCATCGCTGCAGATGCTGGTTGTCTGAAGAAAACACCTTACTGCCGTCACACCTCTGTACAGTCAGCAGTAGGACTTTGCCTTCGGACCTTGGGTTTACCGCTTTCAGTCTTGTTGTTCTTCAACCGACTTTTCTGACATGGTAGAAACTTGAAAAACGATTGTTCAAGTCAGCATAGCTCGGTTGCTTCATCACGATAGGCAAGTCTGACCACCACATTAAGGTAGCAGCAACGGTCAGGACTTCCGTCTCGTTAGGTGGGTGACTCGTCACGGGCCATGGAGGACATGACAGTCTGATCGATATCTCCGGGGCAACAGACCAGTTAAACTGCTGCTCTGAAAACTGCCCATCGTCCAAGACGTCGGTAGATGTTAGTGATTGGCATCCCGTCATCACCGGTTGTTCCACTTACACCAGACTTCTTAATGCCCGTAACTCGTACGAGCTGAAAGAGCTTTCGGCAGTTACCAGACACAGCTGCTGCTGTCAACTCCTTAGTATGCTCTGTTTAGGACAAATTCGTTGGCCACTGAAACGTAAGGTAAAATTAGCCCAAAACAAGGGCATGATCGGAGTTCAGATAGGTACTCCAAAAGGCGCGGCAGTCTCGTATACCACCACGCCAGCGGACGCGATGCGATCAATCTGAGTACAGGTTTGAGATGCAGAGGGAGGACACAAAGTAGCACGTCGGCAATGACTGTACCGGTAGTTAGCACTAGCCAGAAACAGGTTATAGTTTGCGCTAAGTTACAGCAGACAGTCACTGTTACCTGACCTGAAAACAACAAGTCCCCACCAGCCACTTAAACTACTCTATTCTGTACCCAGACGCCCGACATGAGCGTTCATGTCTCCGACTAGTACCATATCTGTCGAACGCACATTCTGTAGACGAACGGTTAACTAGTGGAAAAACTCATCCTTGATCGCACCTGGGTTGCAATCTGTCGTAACGTAAACAGAGATGACGAAAGGGCATCAGTTCTCATACCGATTTCTTCTCATTTTGATGGAGCTCTCTAACCAAACTACACATCGCCGACTGTTAATGTGGATACAATCGACCAGTGCTGCTTAAAGCTCTAGCGCTTAGTGAGACATCAACGTCAGCAAAACCAGACAATGCCACAGGGTCTGCGGATAAACATATGTGAAACAAGCTTTCAGAAGCGACAGATGGAGAGCGAATTTGTAGTACTTCACTAGGGTCTTGAATACGGGTCTCGGACAGACAACAAACGTCGATGTTGAGACTTTCTAAAAACATAACCAGCCCAATATGTTGTCCGGTTTGGATTAGTGTGCGAACACTGAAGGAGGCCAGTTTGAATAGTATACGTGGTTTCAGAGAGACTGGTTTATTATTAGTAGCAATCAGCTTTCGACTAGTTAGCAGCTTGAGGCCGTTTAGATAGGACAGGGTTTTCATCATGGACCAGCTACTGTAAAAGTTGAAATACGCAAAATGATGATAAAGGGGAATAAATAAGTGACGAAGTATAAAAACGGATGTTATCAAATGATTGTGAATGTGATTTGTCTGGATGAGCGTTGAAGCAAGAGTGATCCGTCTAGTAATAATTATAATTGATTTGTGTGTGAGCTAAAATACTGCCCGGGTTTTTATCAGTTAATTAATTAATTTGTTTATTGTTTTAAACATATAAATATTGGTACGAGGCACCAAATATATATGCGACATATTCGGTGTGAGGGATGGGATACTGCCCGTAAGCCCAAACCGAAGCAGGATAACATATGTGCGAAGATGTTAACAGCCTAGTGAAATACAATGAGTTATTCATCTTAAATCTCATATATTAACCCAAATTTATGATCAAGAATAATAAAAAGTCCAGTTGCAGTTGAAGGCAGATGTTCAGTACCTGAATACTCTGATACGGCCGAGGGTGGGGAAAGTCAGCAATCCTTCTCAAAACGCTCTCACATGGCCACGCGTATTCAGCCACTGCCAGGGAAGACCTAATCGCTGCGGTGTGGGTGTTGTTTACGAAATTGAGAGGAAGAAAAGTAAATGTCCGGCGCTTTGATCGGGTTGGTGAATATGGATGCTTCGCCTGTGGGAGTTGGTAAACCCTGATTCCAAACCAATAGCGCACATGAGCTCCATAATCTTGAAGGGACAATCAGAGTATGAACCAATTATTGGTCATCGTCTACCAAGTGACTGCATGTCCTTACGTTGCCCTACTGCCTAGTGGATCAGATCTTTAGGTCGAAGGCTCGAGGTGTAAACCCCTACGAAAATCACCTGTTTCGGCTTAGGCATATACGATATATACCGAACAATGAAAACGGACTCCACTATAAACAAACAAAATGTCTGTTGGTACATTTAACTAGAAATTCATGTAAAAACTAGTGATAAGCATATACATTGATTACCACGAAAAAAATGAAATTCGTAGAATGACCTAATAAATCATGTCCCAGAAAGATTGAAACACTAAATGAAAAATAACAAAGATGATTTCCATTACTATCACCTACATACGAACAATTTCGATATGCTAGCTTATGAACCAGACTTTTTGACTGGTAGTCAGTCACGGTGTAGAACCTGGTACGTATGTACACCGACTTGAGTTGTCATACCTCATGAGAACATCGAGACCACATTTTTTGAACAAATCTCATAGTGGAGGTAATAACAGTATTGGTTACAATAGAAAAGATGAGGCATCGAAGATACGATTCAAACGAAGCTGACAACTGTTAAAACTAAAGTAAGTTGAATGAGATTTACATCAGTGACCTAGTGACTGACAGTATGGTGATTTATTGAGCACCTTACAAAACTGGTATGAACAGTGATCAATTAACAAGCATTTTTTTATTCAACGGTAAGTAATACTTCTCATGAGAAATTTAACAATCGAGGATTTGAATGATCGATAATGCATATGGTACGTACATTCACGTTAATAACTGATCATTGTCATGTTGGTAGAATAGACTCAAGCTGAATATTGTATTTGTACATACAGAAGGGCTGAAAGCTGAATTGAATCGAGATTACAATAACGCCTTGTGTACTTTGTGCTAGACGTAGTGCAGAGTCGGAAAACATGTATACTATTAATGAAGGATTTATTGGAAATGTTCGGTGTTTGGAATGCTTGAAGTCAGCCAAAATATATATTGTGCTGCCGAAAGGTGGATTTAAGATAGTGTTCAAGCCAAATTACACAACATACCCGCTCCTGAGACAGACCACGTGTTAAAGTACTTGATATGATGCAATCTATGGTGAAGAATGCTTCGTGAAGCTAGATGACATACTCCCACTATAATTCTTACTTTTGACTTCTGTTACTCAAGTCTGTAGACAGAAGGATGACTGAGCATTGAATCATAGCTGATGTCAGTTTGTGATGAAAACCCTAATCGCACTTTGTAAACTCATCTCATAACTCCAGTTTACATGTGATTACCTGACCCTCACCTCTTTGCATCATCGCTGACGTGAGTTAGTGAACATTCTATAGGCTGATAACACTAACAATACTAACCCGATTCTTAAGCTTCTTCTTCTGTAATAGTTCGATATGTGGGAGTGGATTATTCAAATCAAAATATTATCTCACTGTTACGTTATTGCTTTCATTTTTCAACTTTGTAACTAGGTAGCGTTTTCTAGTTAGCTGCTAGGTCTTTAAAGGTCGTCAGTACAATATACTTTTACCTGGAAACCTTATAACCTTATAAGTTGCTACAACGTGTATTGAGTACGGCTCACTGAGACGTGAAGTTTGCATAGCTAGAAAGATTTCCAGGTTGATATGATAATATAACGTTTCAATATATAAATAGAACTAGTCACACAACAGCATAAAGGATTTAGGAACATACCGCCCATCCGAACCGCGAGGTCAGATCACTGTAGTAAAACCACACAATTGACGCGCTACAATCTTCAAACGACAATGATCCGTGATCAATCTTGATATGTGTGTATTCAGTATTAATCAGATAAATAGATACGTTTTCTTTTCAATTAGTAAGTCCAGTGAGATTATTTAGTCGAAAGTAGCTACAGTGTAGAACGGACAGTGTTTGAGGCGTTCACTTACCGTAGTTTATGCATGTCATATATTTCTGAACAAGTATCAATGTCTAGTAGAGTTATACTGAAATCGTATGGAGGACACAATCCATTATTATTCCCTGAAAATGCAAAAATCATTGTCTCTTGCATAAAGCAGATATGTTTGGACAGCTTCAAAGAAGAGGGACCGAGGTGGTTTAAAGACGTCACAGGTTTCCGGGGTTTCACAGCTCCTTAACGCGTAACACCTGAATGATGGAAATGTGCCAACCCAGCCAAATTGGGAACGAAGAGGTTCGAAGATATATTCACCGCTCTATGGATTTGAACTAGTGTCACTTACATACGGAATACATGTTGGTGTGCTCGGTTATGAACCAGACTTTTTGACTGGTAGTCAGTCACGGTGTAGAACCTGGTACGTATGTACACCGACTTGAGTTGTCATACCTCATGAGAACATCGAGACCACATTTTTTGAACAAATCTCATAGTGGAGGTAATAACAGTATTGGTTACAATAGAAAAGATGAGGCATCGAAGATACGATTCAAACGAAGCTGACAACTGTTAAAACTAAAGTAAGTTGAATGAGATTTACATCAGTGACCTAGTGACTGACAGTATGGTGATTTATTGAGCACCTTACAAAACTGGTATGAACAGTGATCAATTAACAAGCATTTTTTTATTCAACGGTAAGTAATACTTCTCATGAGAAATTTAACAATCGAGGATTTGAATGATCGATAATGCATATGGTACGTACATTCACGTTAATAACTGATCATTGTCATGTTGGTAGAATAGACTCAAGCTGAATATTGTATTTGTACATACAGAAGGGCTGAAAGCTGAATTGAATCGAGATTACAATAACGCCTTGTGTACTTTGTGCTAGACGTAGTGCAGAGTCGGAAAACATGTATACTATTAATGAAGGATTTATTGGAAATGTTCGGTGTTTGGAATGCTTGAAGTCAGCCAAAATATATATTGTGCTGCCGAAAGGTGGATTTAAGATAGTGTTCAAGCCAAATTACACAACATACCCGCTCCTGAGACAGACCACGTGTTAAAGTACTTGATATGATGCAATCTATGGTGAAGAATGCTTCGTGAAGCTAGATGACATACTCCCACTATAATTCTTACTTTTGACTTCTGTTACTCAAGTCTGTAGACAGAAGGATGACTGAGCATTGAATCATAGCTGATGTCAGTTTGTGATGAAAACCCTAATCGCACTTTGTAAACTCATCTCATAACTCCAGTTTACATGTGATTACCTGACCCTCACCTCTTTGCATCATCGCTGACGTGAGTTAGTGAACATTCTATAGGCTGATAACACTAACAATACTAACCCGATTCTTAAGCTTCTTCTTCTGTAATAGTTCGATATGTGGGAGTGGATTATTCAAATCAAAATATTATCTCACTGTTACGTTATTGCTTTCATTTTTCAACTTTGTAACTAGGTAGCGTTTTCTAGTTAGCTGCTAGGTCTTTAAAGGTCGTCAGTACAATATACTTTTACCTGGAAACCTTATAACCTTATAAGTTGCTACAACGTGTATTGAGTACGGCTCACTGAGACGTGAAGTTTGCATAGCTAGAAAGATTTCCAGGTTGATATGATAATATAACGTTTCAATATATAAATAGAACTAGTCACACAACAGCATAAAGGATTTAGGAACATACCGCCCATCCGAACCGCGAGGTCAGATCACTGTAGTAAAACCACACAATTGACGCGCTACAATCTTCAAACGACAATGATCCGTGATCAATCTTGATATGTGTGTATTCAGTATTAATCAGATAAATAGATACGTTTTCTTTTCAATTAGTAAGTCCAGTGAGATTATTTAGTCGAAAGTAGCTACAGTGTAGAACGGACAGTGTTTGAGGCGTTCACTTACCGTAGTTTATGCATGTCATATATTTCTGAACAAGTATCAATGTCTAGTAGAGTTATACTGAAATCGTATGGAGGACACAATCCATTATTATTCCCTGAAAATGCAAAAATCATTGTCTCTTGCATAAAGCAGATATGTTTGGACAGCTTCAAAGAAGAGGGACCGAGGTGGTTTAAAGACGTCACAGGTTTCCGGGGTTTCACAGCTCCTTAACGCGTAACACCTGAATGATGGAAATGTGCCAACCCAGCCAAATTGGGAACGAAGAGGTTCGAAGATATATTCACCGCTCTATGGATTTGAACTAGTGTCACTTACATACGGAATACATGTTGGTGTGCTCGGTTATGAACCAGACTTTTTGACTGGTAGTCAGTCACGGTGTAGAACCTGGTACGTATGTACACCGACTTGAGTTGTCATACCTCATGAGAACATCGAGACCACATTTTTTGAACAAATCTCATAGTGGAGGTAATAACAGTATTGGTTACAATAGAAAAGATGAGGCATCGAAGATACGATTCAAACGAAGCTGACAACTGTTAAAACTAAAGTAAGTTGAATGAGATTTACATCAGTGACCTAGTGACTGACAGTATGGTGATTTATTGAGCACCTTACAAAACTGGTATGAACAGTGATCAATTAACAAGCATTTTTTTATTCAACGGTAAGTAATACTTCTCATGAGAAATTTAACAATCGAGGATTTGAATGATCGATAATGCATATGGTACGTACATTCACGTTAATAACTGATCATTGTCATGTTGGTAGAATAGACTCAAGCTGAATATTGTATTTGTACATACAGAAGGGCTGAAAGCTGAATTGAATCGAGATTACAATAACGCCTTGTGTACTTTGTGCTAGACGTAGTGCAGAGTCGGAAAACATGTATACTATTAATGAAGGATTTATTGGAAATGTTCGGTGTTTGGAATGCTTGAAGTCAGCCAAAATATATATTGTGCTGCCGAAAGGTGGATTTAAGATAGTGTTCAAGCCAAATTACACAACATACCCGCTCCTGAGACAGACCACGTGTTAAAGTACTTGATATGATGCAATCTATGGTGAAGAATGCTTCGTGAAGCTAGATGACATACTCCCACTATAATTCTTACTTTTGACTTCTGTTACTCAAGTCTGTAGACAGAAGGATGACTGAGCATTGAATCATAGCTGATGTCAGTTTGTGATGAAAACCCTAATCGCACTTTGTAAACTCATCTCATAACTCCAGTTTACATGTGATTACCTGACCCTCACCTCTTTGCATCATCGCTGACGTGAGTTAGTGAACATTCTATAGGCTGATAACACTAACAATACTAACCCGATTCTTAAGCTTCTTCTTCTGTAATAGTTCGATATGTGGGAGTGGATTATTCAAATCAAAATATTATCTCACTGTTACGTTATTGCTTTCATTTTTCAACTTTGTAACTAGGTAGCGTTTTCTAGTTAGCTGCTAGGTCTTTAAAGGTCGTCAGTACAATATACTTTTACCTGGAAACCTTATAACCTTATAAGTTGCTACAACGTGTATTGAGTACGGCTCACTGAGACGTGAAGTTTGCATAGCTAGAAAGATTTCCAGGTTGATATGATAATATAACGTTTCAATATATAAATAGAACTAGTCACACAACAGCATAAAGGATTTAGGAACATACCGCCCATCCGAACCGCGAGGTCAGATCACTGTAGTAAAACCACACAATTGACGCGCTACAATCTTCAAACGACAATGATCCGTGATCAATCTTGATATGTGTGTATTCAGTATTAATCAGATAAATAGATACGTTTTCTTTTCAATTAGTAAGTCCAGTGAGATTATTTAGTCGAAAGTAGCTACAGTGTAGAACGGACAGTGTTTGAGGCGTTCACTTACCGTAGTTTATGCATGTCATATATTTCTGAACAAGTATCAATGTCTAGTAGAGTTATACTGAAATCGTATGGAGGACACAATCCATTATTATTCCCTGAAAATGCAAAAATCATTGTCTCTTGCATAAAGCAGATATGTTTGGACAGCTTCAAAGAAGAGGGACCGAGGTGGTTTAAAGACGTCACAGGTTTCCGGGGTTTCACAGCTCCTTAACGCGTAACACCTGAATGATGGAAATGTGCCAACCCAGCCAAATTGGGAACGAAGAGGTTCGAAGATATATTCACCGCTCTATGGATTTGAACTAGTGTCACTTACATACGGAATACATGTTGGTGTGCTCGGTTATGAACCAGACTTTTTGACTGGTAGTCAGTCACGGTGTAGAACCTGGTACGTATGTACACCGACTTGAGTTGTCATACCTCATGAGAACATCGAGACCACATTTTTTGAACAAATCTCATAGTGGAGGTAATAACAGTATTGGTTACAATAGAAAAGATGAGGCATCGAAGATACGATTCAAACGAAGCTGACAACTGTTAAAACTAAAGTAAGTTGAATGAGATTTACATCAGTGACCTAGTGACTGACAGTATGGTGATTTATTGAGCACCTTACAAAACTGGTATGAACAGTGATCAATTAACAAGCATTTTTTTATTCAACGGTAAGTAATACTTCTCATGAGAAATTTAACAATCGAGGATTTTTCGTGCCTTAATCTAAACCTCGTGCTATTTATAGAAGAAACCAGAGAAGTAGTGAATAAGTCTTTATTTCGATCTTCGCGTATTCACAGTGGAGCGTGCGATTTGTAGTGGCATTGGGCAGTAGCCACACAATCCACAAAGCTGTGAACGCGAGACTACTCAGAAAATAGATATTCAATATTTAACGCGGAGAAATACCTAACAATGGAGAAGGCGCGAAGAATGAGTTGAAGGTACTGGAGTTGATCGAGTGGCATGGCTCGG